GTTTGAGTATGGGTCCATAAAACAAAAAAACTTTAGTATGACAAAATTTATCATAAGTATGCTGTCAAATGTTATCAAATGACACGCAGTACCACTCAAAAGTAAGTTACCACCGTCTCGAGAGATGCGTATCGCTTCTCTTGAGACATGTCTCCTTTCTTTTCAAGGCGCGTCACGTTTCATTTGAGTCTTTTCTCGTGTCTGGTGAGTGTACTGTAAGTTTTAATGGTATCCATAGCTAAGTGACACACAATGTCAGTGTTTGAATACAATGATGTAAGTGTTGGGTTTTATAAACTTTCGTGAAGGCTAATTTCCACATATGGTGAGATGAAGACACAGATTTCAAAACCAAACACATGTCAGGAATATTTATTTCGTGCATTCTTACCTGGGCACAAAATCTAAATGCTGGCTCTAGCTCACCAGAAAATACCAGACCAATTAAAATATACACAAATCCAATACCATATGAATACAACACCTGAGAAGAGAGACAAAACAATAACATTACTAGTATCGCTAGTATAAATTCTTGCCACTGATTGTCTCACACTGGTTTTACTGTCAGTTATAAGAATTTAGGGGTACATCAAGACAATATCCCTCAGTTGATGATTTTCTTTATTCTTCTCACCCATTTGCCTCATAATGTACACTGGTGCAATGAGAAAGTAGATCTTGATCTCACTATCCCTTTCAGTCCCAAGTTAATTCTTCTTACTGACACCCATACAGTTCTTTTATTGTCTGTTCTGAGAATTTAGTGGTACATCAAGACAAAATGAATCACTTAGTTGATGATTCTCTGTTTTCTCTACAGGTTGTCTGCTTGAAGGGTGATAATATTATTGTCAGCAGAAACTGTGCAGTTCTAGAAAAAATCCATAACAGCTTACTATGCCAAGGAAGGTCATTGAAAATTCCAGGGGTGGGTGAGGGATATCCAAAGCCAAAACTCTTAAAGGAAAGTATGAACAGGCCAAACAGGAATTTCAGAGGGGTGGGAGAGGTGAAACTAAAAACCTACCATGGGAAGGGTATGGATATTTTCAAGAGCAGCCCATTGAATATTTATTGCTGTTGGGATCGTTTTAGGAAGTATAAATGATGCCAAATAATACTACCCAAAATACTGATGATAAAAAGAAAACCTTAAATGATTCATTAGATGACAAACTGTATGAACATAACTTCATGTTCTCTAGCCTGCGAGAGTGTCATGTTTTTTTTTTATTTTTTTCAGGTCATGTTTCATATCCCAAGAAAAAAGTGTGTGAAACAAGGGCCGAAAAAATGGCAGCTAGGGATAAATAAACTTACCACTTCTGTGTTGGAACTCTTGTGTGCCTTCATAGCCTTCTCTTGTACATTTCCAATAACAGCATCAGCACAGAGAGCCAGGGAAATCAAAATTACACCTGAAACAACATCGAAGAACTTTCAGACTTAATAAAAACACAAAATCTAGATCGTGAGGTGAGGGGCTGAAATTCTAAACATTAAAGTAAACAAAAAAAATTGCTAGTCCTCTCAACTTTTTCATTTACAAATTTTTCAACCATCGAAGACCACTCACTGAACAAAACAACACCTATACAATACACACCAATAAAAATCTTGTCGGTACTTGGTCACAACTCTGCTAACAGCAACCTCTCAACCACGACCACCCCTCTACGATAGCCAGGGATTTTCCTTCCGACATTACTAAGATCTCTCTACAATAGCTGCCTTTTTCCAACAGCCAGTTAATTTTTCTACAGGTTTGCCACTGTAGTGAGTTTCAACTTAATTTAAGAAAAAAAAATAGGTGACAATAAAAACAGGAAACATTGCATCAAAAAAAAAAAAGAGTAAAAATTGGCTACAAAGCATTACCAATGGCTTTCCACCAGTGCACCGCAAATTAACAACTTCGAAATTTGTAAAATTATGGTGCCCGCTCCGATTTTGAATTTTTTATGAGGCGCTAGATTCCCATACAAACCCTTATAAAAACATTGCATCACAATATTAGCATGCCAAAGCTCACCCGTGTGGTTAAATTCAGGTTGAACAGTGCTGTCAGCCAAAGTGAACAGTATTAAACCAATACTCATACAAAGGCAAGCCAAAAAATCAATGAGTCTGTAGGTTTTTCCTGGAGACAAAGGAGAGCAGTTAACATCATAGGTATTACAGCTCCTCAAAAACAAGAACTATATTAAATAATTCAGAGAAACACGCAGTTTTGTTGATAATTTTATGATCATCAACCCTAGCCTTTTGATCACAAGCTAAAAACATCATTCAGTTCATAGATTTTCCTAAATTCCATATCTCATAGTGCTTACAGTTGTAATTACAGTATTACAACTGTGGAAGAGTATATTAAGTCCTTGAACATCTTCAAGCTGTCACCTGACAGATGATCACTCTTTGAGGCAATCTAAAATCCATATCTACATCTAATTTTATTACCTTGTATGATAATACCACCAGCCATCACTGGAATTAACTTGCAGCATTTAAAAATGACCTGAAACAATAATATTGAATGGTATTTCAGATGTACTATGAGAACTTACAACCTCATCACATAACTGTCAGTTAACTCTAGTGGCAAGGAAATGAAGTGAAATCAAATGTGGGCACATTGTAACATGTTAACTAACCAGTACAAAAAAAATGCTTCAAAAAATAAGAAGAGTGCTTCAGCTTTGCTGCATTATAACAAAATAGCTGGCTGTTGTTTAATAGCTGTTATTGCAGTTGAGTCTGCAGTCAAATGTTCTTTGGTTTTAAAAGGCATGCAAACGAGGCGAAAGGGTCAATACAATGCAGAATTGACCCTTTCACCTCGTTTGTGTGTCAAGCCACTGATAACTGCAACAACAGCTATTGGCCACTTTCAGGAAGAAAACCTAAAGCTGGGATGTAAAATTAGACTGAGATGATCAAACCAAGACATCAAACTACTGTAGCTGGCATGTAGCATTCCCTTTAGTAGCCCTTGCAGTTTGCAAATGACAGAAAGTATAATTATTAATAATATAAATTATATTGCAATAAAATATCTTTTAGAAACATTATAGAAGGGCAAAAAGCTCAAGAGCTAGACAACGTTTCGACATTTTAACAACATCATTATCAAGTCAAAAAGTTAAGAAATTACAAATTAATCTTTAAATACTAATAAGAACAATAGTTGCTAATTAAGAAGTAGTGACAAAGAAAATGCTTTTTTGCCTTTTTATTTAACAAAATACAGAAGCCTAAGCCGTGTATTACACTGTGATAAAACACGACAGGCATTTGAGAACACAAGGGAAATGTAGGAAACACAAGTAACAGGTGAATACATGTGTTCTACATTTCTTGAGTGTTCTCAAATGTCTGGAGTGTTTTCTCACAGTGTAAAACACGGCTTAGGCTTCTTCATGTGCTTTATGATATAAATGTAGAGGTAATGTGACGAAAAACAATAAAACACTCTTTTTCTATGTTTTATGCTGTGATAAAACATGGGTTTTTGACCAATCAGAGTGCATGCAAGGTCCTATCTATACTATAAAATAAATCGTATTTTATGTGAAAATTAGAAGATTGTGAAATGATTGTTAATTTAATACGTTATTTATTAAGACATGTCTATGTAGCCCTATTTTTAGGGAAGCAGTTCCCATTCAGGGTTTTCCCTCAATACACATGATTTTTCTCTTCTGTGTATCGCTAAACTTTTAGTGTAAAACATACCAAATGAAAAGAACAGATAGATATGTACTAGTTAAGAGGTTACCGCTCAAGAGATAAACAAAATTGATTTAACTAGATTCCACGTGAAATTCACATACCTGTGTGGGGTAGTTTAAATAATTCAGAGAAGTATTGGATAAACCCATAGTAGCCACAGTTAAAAAGGCAAGAATTGAATATGTTTTTACGGGAATTCTGTGGACAAGCAACAAACGAAAGAAATCTGCAATAGTTGCAACAACTAATGAAAATATTTTTACCTTACCCTTGCATTTCACTCAAGAGACATCGTCACTTTGAACCAAAAAGTTCCATACTAATTTTAAAACATGATTAATGCATTCCTTTCTCAAAGAGCTTGGTTGTTACTTGTGCCTGAGAAATTTGAAAACTGAGCAAAAAATATATACTATTCATAGGTACTTTTGGGAACTCAGTAAAGCAGATGCATTTTTAAAACTTTTTTGTAACCCAATCTGTTGTCTTTTAACTGAATTTTTGGCGACCTCTGTTCACCTTCATCAGAGTTCATCAATACAATATCAAAGTTTGTTATAGCTCATGCAACAACAAGCAGTTGCAACTTACAACCATATCTCACTGTTGATACAGGAAAGGAAATTGTGTGTGTGTACTGATGGTTAACTAGGCTATCAACTAATGGTATCAATGTACCATTCCATAAACTTACTTTCTTGTTTTATCTCTTTGAAGGCTTGTTTGAAATATGCCGAATACAGAGTACCATGCAAATTGAACTAGTGTCAGGTACCAGCCAAATGGCTTCATTCCTGTCCTAAATATCCACTCCTGTGTTTAGAGATAAAAACAGATGACAGAGATCAAAAAGAAGTTATTTTCAAACAATCAGAAAATAAAAATTCAGTCTTTGTAAATAAACAAAGTGAAGAGATGTACAAATTGCAATAAGTGTAAAACTGTACAGCAGATGTAAGCGATTGACAAAACTGCTGTATTATTAATTATTGTCAGCAAGAGCTCCTCTGTTTTTCAGGTAGATGCAAACTTGTATGGAGTGTGTGAACCTTAATTAGCTGTTGCAAAGCCTCAGTGCATACTGGTCAGTGTAAAATGAAGACTGTGGACTGCAGACTGCAGATTGTGGACTGGGGGTAAAATGCAGACCGAAGGTAAAATGCAGACTGCAGACTGTAGACTTTTTAATTAACTGAATTGTGTTACCATTTCCATCAATGAGAACTAACCGTAAACAGGCTAACCAGTCCAGAGCATTTAATAGGCTAACCTAAGTGATATTCAGGCTAACAGGAGTAATGTTCAGGCTAATCACAGTGGAAATCTACACTACATAATCATGTTTGTGGTCAGCTTTCAATAATGGAAATAACAAGCTATTTATTTAAAAAGTTTGTAGTCTGCTGGCAGTCTGCATTTTACCCTTGGTCTGCAGGTTGCAGTCTGCCCTCAATCTGCATTTCTCCCCAGTCTGCAGTCTGCAGTCCACAGTCTATTTTTTACACTAACCGTCTGGATACCGCTTGGACTGACCAATTGCGATGGAGGATGAAAAGAATTACAAAAACCACCAACTAGGGCTAGTCATGATGTACCACTCACTTCTCATAACTTATTAATTATTATGTGTCAGTCGCAAAGGAAAATTCTATTATGACTGAGAGAATTAGTGGCATCGACAACTAAATCTCATCCTTACCTGTACGTATCCATATATAAGATAAAATAAAAATACTCCTCCACAACAAATGAAGAACTGGGCTGCTTTAGGTAAAGAATCCAGAGCGAATCCAAGAACAACCAGCTCTTTATGGCCTGCAGAATCTTCCTTCTTGCCGCCATTCGAGATCGTTACTACAGTGTGATCCAACTTGGCTTGCGGAGGTCCCGCCATGAACTTTTTCAAGGCAGAATTGTTTCTTATAAGTTTTAGTGAATTTGGACGCAAGTCACTATTAAACATGGGGCTTCAAGATACACCGATTTTCTACGTTTCAAGAAATATCTATAGAGCATTCTTTTCAGGAGGTCCACTCCCTTGACATCAAATATGGAAAATTAGTGCTAAGACGCATCATTTCTGTATTTCTACAGAGACGAAGGTGACGAAGCAATCTCATTTTAGTCGAATTAGTTGTCGATGTGGCAACTGATGGACCGCCATCTTGAAAGACCGGTGAGACCCTGGGAACGACAACAGTCTAAATAGGTCTGCAATGCGTCCGTTTTAAGGGTGCTTGCCATTATGCCAAAGATTCCGGAAATTTTGGTCGGAAGTCACATGGAAAGTTTCGTTTCGGTTCCTTCCAACCGGAATATTCCGACCGAAAATTGCCGTTCCATTTTGTCAAACCGGTTCATTGTCCTACTTCTATTTACTTATGTAGGGAATTCGGAAAAGGAATAAAACATGGTAAGAGCCATTCCTATTGGTTGGCCCGGTTTGATCGATATTTTTGGGCGAAAGCTTACATCAAGAGCTTTTGCCCGAAAATATCTTCCCCCAAAAATATCGCGTCGTTCCGACTGGCTGCCCCTGGGTCTCCGAGGATCTATAAAGGCTTCTTGACCGCTGGCAAAACCCCGCCTGCCACTTTTAGTAAATGTTTCCTAACATTTGAAAAAATCGAATAAAATAATATCGAATGATTTATAACAGATGTGCTGATGTGTAAAAATTTAATCATTACGCATGCAAAACAGGAAGTGATGAACATTTATTGTGACAGTAGCATCGCAACATAGCAATTTACTGAAACTTTTTTTCCCAAAGATGGTGAAGATCGTATTAATTGATAAAGCGTTTGTAAAACACCTTCAAAACCTGGCAAAACTCACCAAAAACTCTAACAAGTCAAAGCAAGCGAAACTGCACGTTTTGCGGTAAGCCCTCCAGCTATCTGAAAAACTTGAACCAATTAAGTAGCAGAGCAATAAGTGGATGTTATTGTAAACAGTATATTGGCCAGCATAGAGTTGGCAATTTCACTTTGGTCTTGCTCTTCCAGTTGTGTACGAGGTGAGTCCTTTACTGTGATCCATCGACATACTTTTCTGGCTTTCTTGGTTTTTGGACACAGCCTTAGCGTTTGGTGAGTACGCAGCTGTTAAAAAAGAGTTTTTTTGCTCAAGATATAGAAATTCCATCCAGTGTCGACAACAGTGTGGATAATATTATGTTGTTCGTAATCATCGGCGACTGAAGCGGATGTCCGATCTCTGGTTGATAAATATCAACTGGAACAACTTCTGATCACTTTAGCTTCTACTTTGTACTACAACTATAGCTAAAACTAAGACACAACAAGTTCATTAACCTCAGACAGGCTACTAAGACTATCGAAGAGGAAGTCAAGTGGTCTTTTTTTGGGAGTAAAGTGTTAGTGTCCCTCACTACTTATAGAAAAGAACACAGAAAGAAAGGTTCTCAAAAAAGCAACTCTCGGAAAGAATGACCACCTTTAATACTCCTCAGAGAACATTTAATTTCTGGGTTTTTGTAATCAGACGCTTAGATTTAAAGGAAAAGCATCGTACACTCTTTGAATATATCAGACGCGGACGGGAGTCATCTCATTCAGCTTGATGGCTTTCGGTGCGTCATCGTTGTCCAGTCCAATATCCGTTTATGCTTACTGTACAAAAGTTATGCCTGCTCAGCCATTCAACCATGAACTTAACCATGAACTCAACCATGAACCATGAACTCAACAATGAACTCAACCATGAACTACAGAGCTAAGCCCGAAGAAATAAGTTCGGATGAGGTAACAGACAAAACATTATGCCAAAGATTCCAGAAATTTCGGCCGGAAATCAAATGGAAAGGTCCGTTTTGGTTCCTTCTAAATTTGTCGTACGGGCGAAAGTTTACATCAAGAGCTTTTGCCTGAAAATATCTTGCCCCGAAAATATCTTCCCCCGGAAATATCGCGTCGTCCTGACTAGCTCCAAGGATGGATATAGAGGATATTACACGGTGGCGGGAAGATATGAATTTTATGTTCGAGTGGCAAGAACAATATTGTTCTTGCCACGAGAACATAAATTCATATCTTCGAGCTAACTTGTAATGTTCTTTATATTGTATAGACATACTGATGACGGCGTTTTTGACGATTTTCCCAAGATTTCCGACCACTTTTCGAAGATTTCCGAAGATTCTCCAAAGCTTGTACGAAGGTCACACAAACATTGCCGAACATTTTCCGAAAATTTCCAAAGATTAGTGAAATCATTGATATCTTCACTGGTGAGGATATGGAAAATACGCCCCCCGAGTCCCGGATGTGGTTTCGTATGAATTTTAAGAGTGGTGTATTTTCCAGTAGAACACTCGTGTCTATATAATAAAAAGGTTTCTTGGCCGCTGGCAAAACCTTACCCGCCACTTTTTAGTAGATGTTTCCTAACATTTAAAAAAGGTCAAACAAAATAACAGAGAATAATTAATAACAGATGTGCTGATGTGTAAAAATTTAATCACTATGATGCAAAACACGAAGTGATGAACATTTATTGTGACAGTAGCATCGCAACACAGCAATTCACTGAAGCTTTATTCCAAAGATGACGAAGATCGTATTAATTGATAAAACGTTTGTAAAAAAAACACCTTCAACCATGAACTCAACCATGAACCCTGAACTCAACAATGAACTCAACCATGAACTGCAGAGCTGGGCCTTAAGAAATAAGTCCGAATTAGTAACAGACAATGGCTTTGTTTAAAATTATTGTACTGCAATGGTAAGGAATACTGTATGATTATGTTACATTCGTTTTCCAGCTCTCGATTCAGGTCGAGCCAAATGGGACAGAGCGAATCTCGAAAAGAACTTGGTGGGTTGGATCTTGTTCAAGGAGCCAAAAATCTGCTTGACTTTCTTGCACTGGTCGATGAACACCCCAGCCTGTTCTCCGGCCCTGTTCTTAAAAATGCTATTAGAAGATATGAGCATCTTTGGCTGCCATTGATAGCTCTTCAGCAACGCATGTATGGGAGAACAAACCTAGCTGCCCCTCTGGACATCGCGTGGGTATGGCACGTGCACATGCTAGCACCACATCATTACGAGAAGGATTGTGACAACATTGTTTCGGGGTTGGTGGACCACTACCCCGTGACACCACGTCAGAGGCAAGCTGGTCTTTTACGAGCCAAGCGTGTTTGGGAAAAAAGGTACCCTTTCGAACCGTTTGAGATCAACCTAGACAAAGATCCATGTCCGGTGCCGCAGCCTTGCAGCACTTGCGGCACAAGAATCGAGTACAATCTTGAAAAAGCCTGCCAACGCCAGTTCAAATTCTACTACCAGGTGTCTCTACCTCATTATCGCGACAACAGATTCCTCAAAGACGCTGTTGATCGATACGTAACCCACCTGCGTCTAAAGCAAAGCAACTCAGATGTATTCTTGGTTCCATGTTACGACTTCGACCTCATCTGGCATGCGCATCAACTACATCCAACTAAATACAAGCAAACTACAACAAAGTGGCTTGGAAGAATACTCAAGCACGACGACTCCGTAACAGACAGGACAACGGGATCGAAGTTGTATGACGCTGCGATAAAAACCAGGGCAATATGGAAGGAAGCAGGCTGCAGTTTAAACAAAGCAGGGGCTATGTACAGAGGTGATCCCCCAGATCCCAAAACGCCACATGTAAGGTCGTTTAGTGCCCTTGTTCCGGAGGGAACAAAATATCAAGTTCACATAGTGAAAGCAGAGGTCATAAAGTCTCAGGCAAAACATAAGTCAATTTCGATTCGACTAATGGATCACAGTAACACGTTAGTTTTTTCGCAAGGCTTGAAAAAGACCTCGAAATACTCCACTCCTTTTATCGTGAGCCACGATGGAAGCGTAGGAGTATTTGAAGTGGTAGTTGCACTTTCTGCGACGACAGACCCCATTGGAGAACAGCTAGTGAGCGACCAAGTGGACATTTCAAAATGCTTGAGTGCTTTTAAAGGAAAGGAGGAAAGAAGATTCCCTGATATTGCTTTAGATGTTGACCTTAACGCTGGAAGCTATAGAGTGAGAATCACCATTCGAGTGAATTTTGCAAGATTCCAAGAACCTAGATTTACTCTCGAACCGTGTACGTTCTTTACGCAGTTTGATCATCCACTCAGCATCCTTAGCTGCCCACATTTAACGCTGTCACCAGAAGACATGGCTAGGCCAATTTTGCCGTGTGAGTCGTTTACTCATTGTTTCATAGATTCAAGACGTGGAAACGAATTATTCCACTGTCGAGTCGTCCACTCTAATCACGGAAACAATCCGTTATCTGCAGCGGAAATCTTGGATCCTGACGAAAACGCTGTGGCAACAGCTCATTTGCTAAGTCCAACTGCATCATCATTTTCCTTTTTTGGCAATCCACTCGGCCAGAATAACAAGAACAAGAACTCCAACAGACCAAGCGCCTTACATTTCATCTTATGAAACAGGCGTGAGAAACGGCGTCCTTGAACTCAACCTCGTTCCCAGGGTCCTCTCTTCCTCGAGTAAGAGAAAGGATCATAAGAACGAGGCTGCCTTGGACTCTGCGAAAGCAATAGCCCTTTTCACGGTTACCTTTGCTCATTTGCATTACAATAAAATCCAGCATGTATGTGAGGCAATTTCGGGCTATTTTGTAGTTTTAGCCCGAAATTGCCTCGCATCCACGTTGGATTACATCGTAATGCAAATGAGAAGAATTAACCGTGAAAAGGGCTATTATTCATAAAAATGCAAAAGTATATATTTCTTTTTTCTGGCACCACCCTTACTAAACTTTTCAATGCCAACATAGAAAAGGGAAATAGTTTATTGGCTGGCATAGAGACGCGGTGGAACGATGCCATCATCAAAGAATAATGAAAGGAAGGAAATTAGAAACAACAGGCCGATTACGGTACTGCCGGTTGTGGACAACACATTTGAAAAATTACAGTCTAAAGTAATTAACCATTAAACCTAAATTGAGTTCTCCGGGGCTTGTCGGCTGAAAGAAGGAACTGATAATCAGTGTGAGAACAACAAGACTAGTTGAAAACTAGAAAAGAGATTTGGACTGCAAAAAAGTCGCAGAACATGAGCACAGCATTTACTCTCTTTGTCCACCACAAAACTGCAAACATATCGCTTTTGTAACAACGCCTTAATTAAACTTAGCTCAACCGTTTTCAAAAAAAGAACAGAGTTAGGTTAGAGGCAAATACAAGTCAGTAGAGGAACCATAGTTAATAAACGGAAATGGTCAAAGAAGTAAACAACCAGGCTATGATTTATATTGTATTTTGCTCGGTTTTGTGCAGGACCAACCCCAAAATAGCCAACAAAAATATACAAGGAACTTTGCCATGTTTCTTAACCATTTCCCTCTGTTAACTATAGAGGAATGTAGAAAGGGGTTGTCTGCAGGGATCTACATTTTCCCCTTTTGTTGAATATATATTATCAATCGAAAATGATCTCAGTCAGGTGACCAAAGAAACTGGCCTCTCAATGTAAGCTGAAGACCATCAAACATTGACATCGGATCATTCAGGCACGAGAATGGAAGATAACATATTGCAAGGTGGAAACAAAACAGTACAATTAAAGAAAATCTACTTCCAGTTAATGCTCAATAATTAGAGATATCCATGGCTTGATAGTTGACAAGGGCGCAGCCCTAGTTAACTATTACGCAAAGAAATCTCGAGCCAATAATCTAAACGTTACAGTACAAATCTACTAGTCGTTCAAAATTTTATCTAAATCCTCTTCACAGACACTTCGAAAACGCCAAGAAGCGGCCGTCATTTTGTTAACAACTACACACTGCTAGGCTACTCGCTATCTACAACAGAATAAATAGTGAGTAACGTAACAAATCAGAGAACAGCATTCGTGATAGATTGAACACTAGTAAATTAATACTAATAATATCAGTCAATGGTACTCAGTCAGAGGAACAACACATGGCATGAACATGCAAATACCATTTTTACAATAACTACAGAAATTCTCGCGCGCTCATTGACTAAACTTCATTGTCAATATGCGAACAGACAGATGAATTTATAATTTATGTGACGCGTCAACGAGCGAGAGCGGACAATTTGACAATTTGTTATTGTAAAAGTCTGTGGATCCACGAGGCGATAGCCTCGTGGATCCACAGCTACTTTGATAATGTTATGACCAAATTCATGATCAATAGGATGGATGGATAGATAAATAGACAGACAGACAGACAGATAGATAGATAGATAGATAGATAGATAGATAGATAGATAGATAGATAGATAGATAGATAGATAGATAGATAGATAGATAGATAGATAGATAGATAGATAGATAGATAGATTTTCACGATTTTCGCGATTTTCATGTTTTAATAGACCATTTCCGAGTTGCCTTGTGCCTCTATGTCAAAACGAGTCTTCGCGCGAAACCATTCATATGAAAATGTGTTCCGCCTACAGGTTCATTTTCATGCAAATCAAACTCATTTTCAAATGAAAGGTTTTGCACGAGAATTCGGTTTGAAACAGAGGCACAAGGTAACTCGGAAATGGCCTATTAGTATGATTTTTGCACAAGCAAGTGTTAGGAATTTTTAAGAATTACATCTCGTATAGCATAATTAAGCATGTATATATTTGGCRTAATTCAGCATGTTGTRTTTTAAGAATAACTTTTTTAAGCTTTATTTTAAATATTGCATTTTTTTCATAATTTTTAATCTGGTAGGTCATCTAACAAAAAAATAGAAAATTACATTTAGTGTCGTCATTTGATGTGTTTAAGCCGTTTTCAAATTTCTCCGGCATAGTGTGGACGCAGGGTATAGTGTGGTCCCTGGTGTGGACGGGCTTTAGTGACTGCTTTGAAAATACAATAAAACATTTTATTACAGGAATTTTCCAAGATCCTAACTATTTACAAAGATCCGAGACAAGCCGCTGGTGTCTTAAAAAAAAAACTCCTTGTTTGCTGCTGAACTGCAAACAACCAAATCTATAATCAAAGTTTCCGCATATCTCTCGAGGACGCAGGAATATTCCACTGCGGCTTGTGTTTTTCTGTTCTGACCTACACTGTAGGAAGAGGTTTGTCGGTCGAAGAAAAGAATTCAAAGCTGTAAAGTGGTAGAGGAGCCTGTGATCCCATTGTAGATATACGTGTTATTAAACGGTACAAACTGATGTGTTACAAGCTTCACGATTTCCTGGGCTGCTGCGCCTGAAAAGGACAAGCAGTCTAAGATACCTAAATGCAACAAAAGTTTTACTTTAAAACTACATCCTTTGCATAAAAACGTCCGATTTTCGAGCTAGGGCTGAACCTACACTGGAATATTCTTAATTGTTTGTTCACTTGTAGCGTAAGTCTGACTTAATTGCACTCGCATTCATACGTGTAGCCATACTAATTACCTCCAATAAAAGCGGCAACAGAATGCAATTCACTGGCTCCATATCGGCACCTGAAACCGAGAGATGAAATTACTATCTTTAGCGTACAGCGATCTTATCATTGCTAAGTTTATTGCTAAATAAATTACTATACTCACATTTCATGAACGTACTCCTCCTTCACATCCGCGCTCACTGACCACTCCTGAAGCAAAGAGCTTAGGCAACTCTGAAAATAAAATCAAAGAGTGTTAGCGAAGTGCACTGTATAGGCGATTGTTGACTATCTTTGAATCAGGTGTGGAAGACTCGGGGAGGTGGGACGAATCAATTAAAAGTTGGGGAGGGAGTGGGACGAGACAACTGCACCAATCACTTGCCAATAGTCCTTTTCACGGTTAATTTTTCTCATTTGCATTACAATGTAATCCAACGTGGATGCGACGCAATTTCGGGCTAAAACTACAAAATAGCCCGAAATTGCCTCACATACATTGTACACGCTAGATTTTATTGAAATGCAAATGAGCAAAGGTAACCGTGAAAAGAGCCATTGATGCAACTATGGAAGCCACGGGAATAATTGCAAACCAAACCGTGACATTAGCAAGTAGTGTTCAGTAGGTAAGGTAAATTCTGCATACCAAGTGGCCCATCAGGCCGGCGCCTATCTCAGGTTTCTATAGCATGAAGCGACCAGGAATGTTTCTACCAGTCCACATGGATGGGATGCTAGTCCATTGCAGGGTTACCACCAGCATTAAGTTCGCCGGTACCTATTTATACACTTGGGTGGAGAGAGGCACTGTGAGAGTGAAGTATCTTGCCCAAAAAGACAACGAAATGTCACCGGTCAGGGCTCGAGCCCGGACTGCTTGATCTGGAGACAAGCGCACTAACCATGAGGCCACCGCACCTCCGCCTGCTCAGTAGTATAGTTAAATATTAATCACGCTGACTACTGCGCAGGTCACAAGCCAACGCACCTTTAACTTAACAACATCAGCCTCTACTTGTTCATCGAAATATCCTGAAAAAAGTAAAAAGTGCCGCGACTTCAGTTATTGATTCTTCTCCCTTAAAACTATGCAATTAGATACAGAATCCCCAACGAGGAAGGAACGTTAAGAATGGGGAAGGTTTTGTTGGACTAAGGACAACGACAAAGTCAGCAAAAATCTACCTTTCAGGTAAAAGCATTCGTCCTTTTAACAGTGATCGCGGTACAACATCAG